TATATGTCTATGGGATATTTCATGGGATAAGTATTGGCATATTTAATGGGATATTAGAATGGAATACATCTACGTAATATTTAATGGATATTGCAATTGGATATTTAAATAGATATTTACGAGGGTGTTAATGGAATATGTCAATGGAACTTTTATTTTCTTGGTATATTCAATTGGATATTTCAGTGGGCTATATCGATCGGCTATTTCAATGTGATATTTAACACGACATTTAATGGGATATCCGAATGGCATATATGACTGCTGTATGGGACATATTTGACTAGGAATCAATGGCGTAAATGGAATCTCACCTCGTCCGTCTCGGGTCCTAGGGGAGGGAGGGAGCATTGCCGGCATCAGGGAGGAGTGTTGATCAGAGGTGTGGAGGACGAGGTAGAGGAGGGAGGAGGGAGAGTCGCCTTCTTCCGTCGTATGGCTGATGCAGAGTAACAACTGCAGTTCCACGTGCAGGTGGTTATGAAGGCACACAACCGCTTCAGGAGCAGCTGTGAAGTCCCCTTCGTATTTGTGGATCTGCCATTGCGTCGTTAAGCGTCGCACTACGGTCTGTTCTGGATGAAACACAGTCGCACACTGGAGCGTTTCGATTTTCCATTTGTGCATCAGAAACCGACATCTACTGCCCTGGGTTGTGCAGTGGATGTGGTTATGGTGGACCATGAGCTTCGTGGAAGATCAAACCCAGTGATCTTCAGCGTTGGGTCTTCACAAGGTGGTGTTTGTGAGTCCCTTTGAACTCCATTCAGCTCCCCACGCTTCATCGGGTTGAACTCACATTGATGCAGGTTAAGCGCGTGGGTCCAAAAGTGCTTGGCGTGACTTCAAGCGATGCCGAGGGACGTTATTGAGGTCCTGGTGAATGTGAAGGCGACTGCTTCCCTCGATTTTCAGGCCTTCCCCGAGGGTTGCAGCGTTGCGGCGGATGACAAAAACAAGAACAGGTTGTCCGCAGCGCTGAGGGTGCTGATGCCTCCCCAGCTTGTGGTTGGAGGAGGTGAGAAGGAGACAGTGCCAGGTTGAGAAGGAATGTAGAGAAAAGAGGTGAAAATAACGAGGTGAGAAAAAGATGGAGGTGGGGCCGACGTGATGATGTGATGAGAAGGAATATTCGAGGAGGTGGAGGAGAGGCTAAGAAAGGGTGAGGACAAGGCGGTTCTGAAGGTGAAGCATTGAGGATGTGAGGAGGTGGTGGTGAGGATGAGGTGAGGAGGTGGTGGCGAGGATGAGGTGAGGAGGTGGTGGTGAGGATGAGGTGAGGATGAGGTGGTGAGGATGAGGTGAGGAGGTGGTGGTGAGGATGAGGTGAGGAGGTGGTGGTGAGGATGAGGTGAGGAGGTGGTGGTGAGGATGAGGTGAGGATGAGGTGGTGAGGATGAGGTGAGGATGAAGTGAGGAGGTGGTGGCGAGGATGAGGTGAGGAGGTGGTGGTGAGGATGAGGTGAGGAGGTGGTGGTGAGGATGAGGTGAGGATGAAGTGAGGAGGTGGTGGCGAGGATGAGGTGAGGAGGTGGTGGTGAGGATGAGGTGAGGAGGTGGTGGTGAGGATGAGGTGAGGATGAGGTGGTGAGGATGAGGTGAGGAGATGGTGGTGAGGATGAAGTGAGGAGGTGGTGGCGAGGATGAGGTGAGGAGGTGGTGGTGAGGATGAGGTGAGGATGAGGTGAGGAGGTGGTGGTGAGGATGAGGTGAGGAGGTGGTGGCGAGGATGAGGTGAGGAGGTGGTGGTGAGGATGAGGTGAGGAGGTGGTGGCGAGGATGAGGTGAGGAGGTGGTGGTGAGGATGAGGTGAGGAGGTGGTGGCGAGGATGAGGTGAGGAGGTGGTGGCGAGGAGGTGGTGGTGAGGATGAGGCGAGGATGAGGTGGCGAGGATGAGGTGAGGAGGTGGTGGCGAGGAGGTGGTGGTGAGGATGAGGCGAGGATGAGGTGAGGAGGTGGTGGCGAGGATGAGGTGAGGATGAGGTGGCGAGGATGAGGTGAGGAGGTGGTGGCGAAGAGGTGGTGGTGAGGATGAGGCGAGGATGAGGTGAGGAGGTGGTGGCGAGGATGAGGTATTTTTGGGTCGAGTGCTCTGGAGGAAACGTTCTGAGTAACGCAGCTCGCGTCCTTGCACATCGCGCGATGCAGATGGTCATCATCAACATCATCACCATCACTCCACCCTCGTCATCATCAACATCATCACCATCAATACCACCCTCGTCATCATCAACATCATCACCATCAATACCACCCTTATCATCACCACCACCCTCGTCATCACTACCACCCTCATCATCATCAACATCATCACCATCACCACCACCCTCATCATCATCAACATCATCGCCATCAATACCACCCTCATCATCATCAAGATCATCACCATCACTACCACCCTCATCATCATCAACATCATCACCATCACCACCACCCTCATCATCATCAACATCATCAACATCACTCCACCCTCGTCATCATCAACATCATCACCATCAATACCACCCTCATCATCATCAACATCATCACCATCACTACCACCCTCATCATCATCAACATCATCACCATCAATACCATCAACATTATCACCACCCTCATCATCACTACCACCATCATCATCACTACAGCCCTCATTATCACTACCATCATCATAAACATGGTCATCAACATCACTGCCAGCATCATCACATCCACCCTCATCATCAACGTCGTCATCAGGACCACTACCATCATCGTCGTCATCATCATCACTACTACCCTCGTCATTAACATCCTCATCATGATCACTACCATCATTATCACTACCACCATCATCACCACCATCATGCTGGTGCATGACTATACTGAGAGTCAGCATCATCATCAGTAGCAGCCATCATCAATCCACTGTTGGATGAAAACCATCCCAATGTGTGTCCGTGTGTTTATTTATATGTGTGTCCGTATGTCCGTGTGTCCGTATGTCTGTGTGTCTGAGTATCCATGTGTCCTCACGTCCGTGTGTAAGTGTGTCTGTGTCCGTATGTTCATATGTCCGTGTGTCCGTATGTCCGTGTATCCGTATGTCCGTGTGTCTGTGCATCCCTGTGTCTGTATGTCGGTTAATCAGTGGGGAGCGGTGGCGTAGCGGTTAGCGCACTGCGCTATGAACCCGGCTGCGCTATGAACCCGGCGAACCGAGTTCAATTCCCGCTCACGGCAACAATTATCTGAACCGGTCCTGGGTCTCCCCCAGGTCGACTCAGCCTCAAATGAGTACCTGGTGCGGTGCGGTAAAACATCACCACTCGGGAGACAAAGGCGGTCGGGCGTGGTTTTGGCAACCCACCCCCTCGTGTGCCGTGCTGGCCTTCATAGGTACTCGCTAGGAGCACTTGGCCCAACAGTCTGTTCAGACTATACGGGGGTTCTTTGTCTTTGTGTTCGTGTGGACGGAGGTGGCCAGTAAGTGGTTTATTCGACGAGACACCGCAATGCAGCTCCGCTCGTCGTCATCATCATAGGAATTAGTATCATCATCATTATTTTCAGCAGCATCATCATTACAACCTCCAGCACCCTGTTCATCTCCAAAAGCAGCGTCGTCGTCGTGGTCTGTCACATCACGTGACCAACATCATCATGAGCAGCACCGTCTGGAGATGCGGTATTCATGTTTTTATTGTACTCTGTCGACTGGCAGAGTCCCATAGCACCTGACTGCAGGAATTCATATTCTATGGTTCTTTCGGTAAAGTCACGTAGATATAAAAAAAATAATAACAATAAAAGAATAAAAATAAGTGAATACATTTTTTTAAATTGTTTATATAGAAAAAAATTATAACAACAAAATAATAAAAATAAAGTGAATAAAACAAATATTTGTTATTCTTTTTTTATTCACTTTAATAAAGTGATTTTTTATTTATTCACTTTATTTTCATTATTTTATTATAATTGTTTCTATCTACGTGACTTTACCGAAAGAACCATGAATATAAGTTATATTGAGTGATTTGGGCGGACGAGCGGATGTGGGAAGGAGGACTACTGAGGGATGCTGTTAACAGTTAACCCGACTGATTCAGAGCAAGACCCTTGCTGCTGTGGTTGTTATTGTTGTGGTTGTTATTGTTGTGGTTGTTGCTGTTGTTGTTGTTGTGATGCTGCTGCGGCGTGACAACGAAATATATTCTTGCATGCAATTGGTGACGTTACGGGCAATGGCGCTTTGTACTACGTGATCTGAAGGAGGGCCATTGCTCGAAACGTCACCGATTACATGGGCCGATAATGCCGTAATACATAGGGGACTGCGGAGCTTGGGCAGTTGGTAGTGCTGGCTACTCACCGCGTGGCTGCTGCCTTCCCCGCTCATCTGTGGTTCCTCTTCTCCTGACATGCCTGTGTGCACGTGTGTGGGTGTGTGCACGCGTGTATGTAGCTGTTTTTGTATGTGTGAGTGCTTGTGTGCGTGCGTGTATGTATGTGTATATGTATGTATGTGTGCGCGTGTGTATGTGTTTGTGCGCGTGTTTATGTATGTGTATATGTGCGTGCGTGTGTATTTATGTGTGTGTATGTATGTATGCGTGTGTGCGCGTGTACACGTGTGTATGTATGTGTGTATGTATGTATGTATGTGTGCTTGTGTACGCGTGTGTATGTATGACGTGTGTATGTATGTGTGTATGTGTGCGCGTGAGTGTGGTAGTGGGGGCCGTAGTGTAGTGGTAAGCGCGCTGCGCTACGGCCACCAACACCCAGTGACGATTATCTGAATCGGTCCTGGGCCTCCACTAGGTCGACTCAGCCTCAAATTAGTATCTGATGCGGTGTATAGACATCGTCACTGGGGAGACAAAGGTGGCCGGGCGTGGTGCTGGCCACCCAACCCCTCACACGTTGTCCGTGCCGGCCTTCGTAGGTGCCGCTCGCTAACAGCACTTGTCCCCAACGGCCTGTTACAGGCGATGCTGCTTTGTCTTTGTGTGCGTGGTTGCGTCGGGTGGCGCAGGGCAGAAGACCCTGCAGCACAGCAGCGATGAGTTGGACACCGTGGTGCTGATCAACCCCTCGGAAGAGGCCGTCGGAACCGAGGTGAGCAGGAGAGTGGAGAGAGACGAGCAGTGGTGTTGACTCACGTGGCTGTCAGTAACCCAGCACTACTGTGGAGGCAGCGCCCAGGGGTTGCTGGATCACCACACACCACCTGTGCGGTGATCTACCAACCCTCCTGGCGGTGCCATACCCTGGCACGGGGATAGAGCGTTGCCCCCTCGCGCAATGCGTGGGTTTTCTGCGGGTGCTCCAGTTTCCTAAAGATACAAATCTCAACGTAGCAGCAGCAGCAGGACCCTCCTGAAAAAGTGTCACAAGGCTCAGAGTGGCTCTCCTGGATAAACTGTTCACGGGTCTCCATCATCAAGGAGCATTGGTGAGTATTCTGGGGGGGGGGGGGGGTTGTGAGTTTTGTGTGGGGAGCGGTCGCACAGCGGTTAGTGTACCCGAGTTCGATGTCCCGCTTCAAGGCCTCCACCAGTGACGATTCTCTGAACCGGTACTGGATCTGCCCTAGGTCGTCTTAGCCTCAATTGAATACCTGGTACAATGCGTTAAAATATTGCCAACTGGGGAGACAAAGGCAGCCGGGCGTGGTGTTGGCCGCCCACCCCACTCGGTGCTGGGTCGGTCTTCATAGGTGATGCGACTCCCTAGCAGCTATATGGGTGATCTTTGTCTTTGTAAGGTGCATGTGCAGTGAGTGTGGGCATTGAACACGCTGGTGTTGGTGTGTGTCCTCCTGCCCCGCTACCTTCCATGCACCCCCCCCTTCATCCCCCTCCCCAACACTGCCCCCCATGCACCCCGCCCCCCGCCCCCCTGCCCCCTCCCCAACACTGCCCCCCATGCACCCCGCCCCCCCAGGTGCGCACTCTCCTCCGGGGTCCGGCGCACCACAAGCTGCTCGTGGTGTCCGGCCAGAGCCTGGAGCCCACGGGCGACATCGCCCTGCAGCAGGGCTACGTGTCGTGCCAGGGCCTCGCCAGCATCCTCACCGAGCCCGAGGTGAGCTCACCGCTCCGTACCGGATGGGGGGCACAACCGGTAGCGTAACGAGCGTGGGGCAGGCAGGAGGTGCCTTTCCTCTACACCCCCCCCCCCCCCACCAAAGCTACGAGTTTGGGCCCCCTTAACAACCACAATGATAGATGTTTTCAAAAGTTTAGTATTGGAAGTAATACCGTTTTTTTACCGTAAAGAAACGTAATTGACTTTAGTGAAAGAACATTGGACGTGGAACTCCGTTTCTGGGATTTTTGTTTAATTGGATAAGTGTCAATTGTTTTTCAAAAAGGTACTAGGGAGCTGTAAGTGGCCGCATGTTGCGAAGACGCAGCGCCCGTACAGCGTTACATGTTCGATACCGTGAGCGTAACGACGATGTGATTAGGCACGAGGAGGCCGCGATTTTTATAATAGCCTGGGTGCGACCGTACTGTGAGACAAATCAAATATTGGGGCCCCACCTGACCGATCGCTGCACCCCCTGGGCTGATGATGTCGCTACTACGCCACTGGGCACCACCCTCCAGCCACCTCCAGCCACCTCCACCACCACCACCACCGCTACCCACCGCCTCCTCCTCTTCTGCTGACACCGCCGGTCTTCATTTGCGCCCGTAACCAGAGACGCCGGATTGGGATGGGGGATCTCAACGATCACGCCGCGCGCCGCAGTGGCAGAGCAACCTTGTCCCTATCGATTAAACGTTGCTGCACCCCCCACCCCCACCATACTCCCCCACACACCCCCACCATACTCCCCCACACACCCCCACCATACTCCCCCACACACCCCCATCACCACCGCGCCACTTCCTCAAATGTGCCACCCTGGCGTGACCAAATTGCTGAGCAGGGCAGAACAGAATGCGGTGGTAACGATCGGCACCCTCATGAATCATTCATCGGCCCACGTCGTCCCTCGGAGATGACTTCCGAGAATGGGGGGAGGGAGGGTGCGGGGTTGGTTCGCCAGGGGGGGGGGCAGCGCGGCAGGGGTGGGGTTCACAATGGCCTTGTCACTGAGAAACTGAGCCAGCGGGCTGGTGCTGACGTCACGAGTGTTCAACTTGAATCTGAGCGAATTCTTCGAGACCCATAGCCTCGCACAAAGATCTATAGATTCACACTGAGATCAATAGACTCACATAGAGAACAATCGACTCATATAGATACCTCTAGACTCACATGGTGTGTGTGGGTGGATTTTTCTCCAGGTCCTCCGGTTTTTCCCTCCACATTTGGCTGCTATGTATTTCCACGTGATGAGCCACTTCATTGAGCTATCATTTGTGGCCAGGTCGCTTCTGAAAAAAGAGCTATGCAGCTCAGTGGGCCTTACCTCGTAAAATAAAAAAATAGTTGAGTTTAGTTGTAGCAATATCAGCATCAGCAGACTCATCCATCTGAACTGGTCTCATAACTGACGTCTCTCCTCCCTCTCTCCCCACCATCTCCCCACCCACAGCTCAGCGCGCAGCTCTGCTCCGCACCCTCAGACGCGCGCGCCCACCTCACCGTCGCGTGCCCCGACGACGGCGACTGGCGCGGCGGCGCCCTGGAGGCGCTCGCCCTCACGCCGGGCGACGCATTCATCCGAGTGAGCGTCAACCCCCCCGCCCCCGCCAGCGCCCCCGCCGGCGCCCCCGCCGGCGCCAACAACAACGGCAGCGCCGCCGGTGGAGACGCAGCGATGGACGGCCTCTCCGAGTTCACCGAGTACCTGGCAGAGTCCGTGGAGCTGCCCTCGCCGTTCGAGCTCCTGGAGCCGCCGACGTCGGGCGGCTTCCTCAAGCTGTCACGCCCATGCTGCTACATCTTCCCCGGCGGGCGCGGCGACTCAGCGCTCTTCGCCGTCAACGGCTTCAACATGCTGGTGGACGGCGGCTCCGAGCGTCGCTCGTGCTTTTGGAAGCTGGTGCGGCACGTGGACCGCGTCGACTCGGTGCTCGTGACGCACATCGGTGCTGACAACCTGCCCGGCGTCAACGGCCTGCTGCGCCGCAAGCTGGCCGAGGTGGAGGACGAGGAGTCACAGGGCTCGGCGGCCTACGGCGAGTGGATGCGCAACCTCATCTCACCCGAGATCGGTGTCGTCTTCTTCAACGTGCCCGACAAGCTGCGTGCCGCCGCGACCGAGCCCGCGGGGCGCAAGGTGAGGAAGAGCTTCGAAGAGGCGCGCCAGACCCTGCAATTGCTCGACGGGCTGGGCATCGTGCCCGAGCCCTTATCGCGGGCGGCTGGCGCCACAGCCATTGAGCCCATCGTGCTCTTCCAGAAGCTGGGCGTGGGGCGGCTCGACATGTACGTGCTCAACCCGGTGCGGGACAGCAAGGAGATGCAGTTCCTCATGCAGAAGTGGGCGGGCAACAGCAAAGCCAAGACGGGCGTCATGCTGGCCGGGGGCAAGGAGGGCGAGATCGCCGTGCCCTACCTCACGTCCATCACGGCGCTCGTCGTGTGGCACCCGGCCAACCCGGCCGACAAAATTGTACGCGTGCTGTTTCCCGGCAACGCACCGCAGGGTAAGATCCTGGAAGGGCTAGACAAGCTGAAGCATCTGGATTTCCTCAAGCACCCCGTGGCCATGCAAAAGGATCTGGGTGCCGGGCTCTTGCCAAAGCAGTCCAAGCTGAAGCAGAAGACAGACAGCAAGGAGAGCCTCAGGTCATCGCCAAAGATCCAGGCAGTCAAGTCGCCGCCTCCGCCACCGAAGGAAGGCAAAGAATCAGTTGTCGTGGCGATGGTGAGAGCCGTGGAAACGACGCCTGGCGATGAAAAGTGCCGGCCGCCGGCAAGTGCCAGCGAGAAGGAGGCTGAATGGGCGGGTGACATAAAGGCAGAGAGAGCCGAAGCCAAGCTGGAAAAGCCAGAAGTGAAAAAACCGTCGGGGATCAAAAGGGAAAAGGGCAAACTGGATGCTTCGAAACCGAAAACAATGAAGAGGAGCTCGAAGGACAAGTCGGTGGCCTTGAACGAAAATAAGGCCAAGGAGCAGGAGAAGAAAATGGATGCCGCGAAAGATGCAGCCCATGATGCAGAGAAGGAGCTCAAAAGGACCGACCACAAGAAGGATGTCAAAAAGACAGAGAGGAAGAATGGGGGCAAAGATGACAAGGAAGTGAAGAAACCATCCAGACATGAAGTGAGGCCTCTCACCTCTCCCACGCCGACAAAGAAAGTGGCAGAGAAAGCCAAGGTTCTGAAGAAAGACGCTGAGCCAAAGCTCCTGCGCAAGGAGAGGACGCCATCGCCGAAGCTCAAGCCTCACGGCAAGGCGGAGAAGAAGAAGAAGGAGGCAAAGCCTGTGAAGAAAGCCGAAGATGCCTCGCAGGCCGCGGTCGCCATTGCTGCTGCCGCCACCACCACCACTGAGCCCGAGGCAGAGAGATCCCGGATGACAACGCCAGAGGACCTGTCTCGGGAGTTCAAGGACTTGGTGGAAGACGAGAAGCTCGTCGAGGTGGAGGTGGCAGAAGAAGCCTTGGAAGCAGGAGGGTCGCCAAGTCCGGTTGCCGATGCTGCTGACGCTGCGCCAAGTCGCCTAGAGAAGGAGGAGGTGGTGGAAGAGGAGGAAGTGGTGACAGTGGTGGAGCAGCAGCAGGAAGATCTGCAGGAAGTCGAACAAGCTCACGAGGAGGAGGTGAAGACGCTGACGCAAATTGAAGCTGACGAAGAGGAGAGGGGCGAGCGGTCTCCCCGTCGCTCGTTTTCAGATGACACGCAACTCACAGCTATCGAGGAGGAACCCGAGCCAGCAGAGCAGGCCGAGGCAGAGCCCATTAGTGTCACGGAGCCCTGCAAAAAAGGAATCGATGGCGAAAAGAAGGAAGATAAGGAGAAGATGCACGACAACAGGCTTGAAGAGGAGGAGGAAGACAAACATGACGAAGAGAAGGAGAAAGAAAGTGAGAGTGAAAAACAGGTGGAATTTGAACTGGAGAAAGAGAAGAAGAAAGAGGAGAAGGAGGAGTGTGACGCCGCTGATAAATTCACGAGCGACCGACACCTGGAAGATAGCAACAAGAACACAACACAGGAGGACGACGCGGAGGCCCGCGGCGGTGCTGAGCGCGATGTTCAGCCAGACACCAATCCGAACCAAAACAATAAACCCGAGATGCTGAGTGTTGACTCCTCGGAGGAAGAGGAGGAGCTGAGCGACATCAGGGAGAAGCACGAGGAGGAGCAGAAGGAGTGGGCCGGAGAGACTGGCAAGCAGCTCCCGACGAGCGCCGGCATCACGCCGGAGTCCCCGCCAGTGGAGGCCTCTCCGGGGCAGCACGACGCGGTGGCAGAAGCAACGGTGGGGGCATCAGTGGCGTCGCCGGGCCCATCGGACACCGAGCAGATGGTATCAGACGAAGACCTCCGTGAGGAGGCCACCCCCACATCCGGCTTCACTTTCGCATCACTGGAGATCTCAGGCGAACCAACGCCCATGTCCGAGATGCCGACCCCGAAGGAGAGCATGAGTGACAAAGATGAGGATGAGTCATCGGGTGGCGAGGCCACGACGGCCGTGATCCAGCACGCTGAGACAGAGCCCGCGGAGGCAGACAGGACGACCGTCGCCACCTTCTCCCCCCTGGCTCTCGACAGCTCCAGCAGCCTGGTGTACTCGAAGACCGAGGCCACGCCCGGGAAGGACTACATTGCCAGCGCCTCGACGATATCACCCACTTCCTCACTGGAGGATGACCGTTTCTTCAAATATCCCAGCGACGAAGGCAAAGCCACGGAGTCGCCAAAGAGGGAAGCTCAAGAGCTGCAGGTGAAGCTCGAAGAGCACGGAAGCCAGGCGGCGATTGGCACGTCGCCCTCCCCCATGGTCGACAAGACCCCAGACCTTGCGTCAGATCTGACGCCGACCAACATCGAGAAGACCCCTGCTTTGGAGAAGACGCTGCCAGTGGCAGCAGCTGCTGACATGCCAGAGAAATGCGCCAGCAGCCCTGAGGAGAAAACCCTGCAGATGGACTCGCTGCCTGGCTCGCCGCAACTTGGCGTGGCGTTCACTCCCTCCTCCTACTCCCCAGCCGACGAGAAAATCTACTTCCCCATGGACGAACTCAGCCCTGACGCGAATGAACGTGGAGCAGAGACCACCACATCCCAACGGGATGATTCCGAGCCTGGGCGAGGAGCCACCCTGGGCAATGAGGCCACAACGTTCTCGCCCACGGAGAAGACTGCATCGTCGCCCATGGTATCGCCCGTGGCGTCACCCGTGGTGTTGCTTGCGTTTCCGCCATCGCCCACAGTGCCGGAGCAGCAGCGATGCGAGTCTCCATTTGCAGAAGCTCCCAGTGTCCTACCTTTTGACAAAGATGTGCATGGCGATGATGACAGCGATGGCAACGAAGTTTCCAAAAAGCCCCCTTCCGTGCACGACGCCGACACTGACAAACCGGTTGCCGCTTCTCACGACGAAACTCTGCAGTACAAAAAGGTCAAATTCGAAGACTCACCGGCACTTCCCGAGCAGGTGCCGGATTCGTTGGACGCCAGCACAACCACGGCACCCTCCATCAGCCCCTTCGATGACTCTAAGCCATTGCCCCCATCTGAGGCTAGCGGCAGGGGCTCCGGCAAGGAGGAGGGGAAGACCTTGTCAGAGCTGACGTTCTCCGACAAGTCCATCACTCCACTGGAAGATCCGCACATGGGCCTTGAGTGCGAGCCGTCCGAAGAGTCGATGTCCGAGCCATGCAACCTCGAGTACGACAGCGTGTCAAAGAGTTCTGCAGCAATAGACCAGGGCAACTTTGACGAGGAGTACAGTGCGTTCCTCCTGCATGGCCATCCCACCTTGGAAGAATTCACCCTTCCCCCATCGCCCTCCTCTGCAGCCACCACTCACTCGCCAAAATCCCTCAAGCTGGATGACAAAGCAAGCCACGGTGATCTACCCGAGTTGCCGATCTCCGCCTTTCAGAAATCCTCCTCCTTGAGGCAGGACGGCGAGTTCACCCCATGCCTCTCATCCGAGTCGGAGTCCACGAGCACTGCCAGGTCAGTCAGAGAGCACGCGCTCGCCACCGGGGGAGGCGACTACGCTGCCGCAGCCCGGGCAGCCCCCTCCGTCACGCTGGCTGTCTGCCTCAAGAGGGCCCCGACGGCGCAGAAAGAGTCGTCCGCCGAGTCACCTCTCAGCGAGACGTCCTACAGCCTCAGCATCGCCTCTGAGTCTGGCAGGATGGAGAGCGAGCAGGGGCAGGCTCCACCGGTCAACGTTGGGCCGAGCACCGACTCCGCCGAGGGCCTGGCTTTGTCGCACAAAAGGCCAGAGCCTAAGAGAGACTCTTTCGGGACATCGCAGGACTCCTCTGTCTCCGAGGCCTCTCACACTCTAGTTCCGTCGGAGATGCTGGGCGACATGGCTGTGCGGGGCGACCTCAATGAGGGATTGTCATCAGCATGCGGAGAGTCATTAGCAGCAGTGTCCAGCAGGCCGGGAGATATGCCAGCTATGGGAGACGCAGGCACCACAGACGTCAAGCCGTCACTTGGCGAGGACGCGGTTTCTCCCGCGACAATTTCGCCGGAAAAAACAATGGTGGCTCACGCAGCCGAGAAGCGCCCTAGCCTGGCCGAGGAAATCCACGCCGCTGGAACGGCGAATGAGTGTCTACAAGAAGCCGAGGATTTAATGCCGGCAGATATACCGACGGAGCAACAGCAACAACGGCCTCCCTCCGACTTGTTTGGCGCTGAGCCATGGCCCCTGTCCATCGCAGAGGAGAATCGCGGGTCATCTCTTGCGGCTGCGGCAGAGCCCCTGTGGCCATGTGCTGCCCCTGTCGAGCGTTCGCTTGAGAGGTCTCCGCTTAGCGGCTCCAGCTCGTCCCTGGGCTCCGTGACCGATGGCCCTTGCACCGGCGGCTCGTTTGCGTCCAGCCCAGCGGCCGAAGCCGACCCCAGCAGAGCACCAGGCATGGGACAAGAAGCGCTGAGTGATGTTGGAGGCGAGGGCCAAGAAGAAACGCGCACGCGGGCAGACAGAGCGACAGAGCAAGAGGTGTTGGCGCCGACAACCCCTGCCTCGCCGCACACGTTTGTGGGGACACGCGCTTTCGACGATCGGGATTCCGAGGAACTGCAGAGGTCTCCCCAAATTGAAGCGACGGCTCAAAGCACAGAAGCATTACCACTGCGCAGTCCCACTCTTATGTCGGCTGCACTGGAATCCCCAGGCAACGTGAGCTTCCTCAATGAGGCATCATCCGCAGACAAAACAGCCACTGCGGTTGCAAGTCTTCCTCACTTCAGCGGAGATGATGACAGTCAAGTGAACGGGGCGTCTGACAAGTTGCCAACCAAGGTTCCTGAAAAGCCAACTTCTAATGCTGAAGCAAAAGATGACCTGGCGGTGGTGGCAGATCATGGGCACAATGCTTCTCCTACCAAGAAATCCTCTTGTGGGGAAAATGCAGATGAAAAAATACTCAACCTGATGCAGGAGATAAGAGCTGAGATCACCACACTGGCCGATGATGCCGGCAAAGAGGCGGCGGCGGCAGCCATGTTGGTTGAAACCTCCCTACAGGCTGGCGGAGAAGCCTTCCTCGCGTTGACCCAAATCCCATCTTCTCATCAACCTTCGGCCTCACCCTCGCCGCTCTCCCCACTCTCCTCGCCCGCGTCCCCCAAGGAGGCTCCTCCGCCCAGCGGAAAACACCCGAGCAAGGACACCGCTCGTTCTCCTGTCTCCCCGCAGGAGTCACCTGTCACCAAGAAGCTCTGCTCTTCCAAGTCTCCCGTGGCCGCCACCGCCCCCGCAATGGCACCGTCGCTTGACAGCTTAATCGCGGCCTCCAAGGCGGCGGCGGAGGCCCTGGTGTCGTCCGCGAGCAAGGCACAGGTGGACGAAGGCAGCCTCACAGATTATCCAACGTCATCAGCCGAGATGCCGTCGCGGGGACCAGGGGAGCACCGTGGGAGCATCGACGCCACCCGAACGAGGTCCCCAGCGTTTGGGGGGCAGCCCGAGTTTTTCAAGGCGGAGTCGAAGATGACGCTGTATCCCATCGAGGCCGTGTGTGACGCGGCCGGTAAAGGGGCGAATAGACCAGACGAGCTCAACATTTCCAAGCGCGGGCCACTGCTCGCCGGGCCTCCCTCACAAATGACCACCGTCAACGAGGCCAGCAGGCCGGGTGAAGTTGGGAGAAGCCCGCCAAAGTCCCCAGCAAGTGCCAGGCCAGCCGAGTCATCCAAAAATTCCTCGCCAACGTCCAAAGACTCACTATCACCCGACGACAGCGACACCAAAACTCCAGACACGTTTGACCTGAAACTCTCGGCTGGCGATGATGTCACAGCTCGAGATGATGATGAGGGAGAGGAGGAGGGGATGCACGGGAATGGTGCCGGGCGTCCTGGCAAAGCGGCCCCTGAGGTAGCACCACCCGGCAAGCCGGCTAGCGAGAGTCCGACCTCCAAGTCGCCCATCTCGGAAGATTCGCTTAAAACCCCGGAAAACGCGGACGTTCCCAGGAAGCCGGCCGGATTGCCAACAGACACCGTGGCCCCTGCACGGCCCGCGGCGGACACTGAGAAGAAGTTGGCGGAACAGAAGGACAAGGAGGGCAAAGATCCCAGCGGGAAGTACAGGAGTCCATTTGAGTCGACAGATGATGACGAATCGCCCCTGTCCCCACCGCCCGAGTACAGCCTCATCCAGCCCCTGGCATCCAGGCTTTCCCCACTGCACGATTTCTACGCCGACATCTATGGCAAAGGAAAATCCCCCTCGCCGCCGAGCCTCCCGAAAACACCGCCGCTTGCTGGCACTGAGCCTACGGAGAAGTTCCCGTCAGCGGGGCTCGAACGGCGAGAGCAGGACGGGGAGAAGGACATTGCTCCACCTGAGAAACCACAGCTCGACTCAGGAATGCCGGAGGGCGCAGAGTGGAACAACAACCTCCCGCCATACGTGCAGATCGATCGCATGGCGAGTGCCTCCTACTCCATGATGGGGACGTTCCCGGGACAGGATTACAAGTACTTCTACTCAGCGTTCACCACAGGAGAGATCCCCCATGTGGTCGCAAGTGAGGCAGAGGGCAAAGGGACGCCACCAAGGAAGGCCGATAAGGAGCGCGGTGTGGAGGAGGAAGAGCGGCTCCGCCACACTCTGCGGCTACGGTCCACCGACGTCGACCCAGCGTTCTCCCCTCTGTCACCGTCACCGCTCAGCGACTCGTCGGCGTCGCCTGGTGGCGTGTCCCGGGGCTCCGATGGCTTTGAGGCGGACCACGCCCCACCGACTCCACCACGGCGTGGCGAGTCGGGCTCGCACGCCGCTGAGAGCCGGCGGGATGCGCCAGACAAATGGGAACCTCGCGAGGCAAGAGCGGCCGATGCTGCACCACCCTTGAAGGACGAGACGCCGGGAGATGCGCCACGCCCTGCCAGGGAAGACAAGGGGTCGGCCGGGTCACCTGTCAAGCTCTCCGATGCGCATGGGGCTGAGATCTTGGAGACGATGCTGATGTTCGAAGAGGCGTATTCGCCGGACTCGTTGCTCGAATCGCCGCATCCCGATGGCGAAACTGACCGATCAGAGCACGGGGAGATGGCCCCTGCGATGAGCGAAGCTCCCGAGAGAAAGCGTGATGTGGAGCTGGATAGGGGCTCTCCACCTTGCGAGAAGCAAACGATGCCGCACGCATCCCTGCCCGCACCCGCAGCAGCGTCGATGAAGGATTCACCCAACTCTGAAGAGTCCGATTTGGTTTCCAAGAGTGGAGCCGTGCTGCCTGAGAAGTCACCGACGGGCGCTTCTTCATTCGCCCTCGATGAGCAGGCGGCGGATGCAGAAGAGGCGACACGTGTGATTGTCCAACCCGATCTGATGCTCATGCTGGCTGAGGTGTCTCCCCAGGCATCTCCTTCGTGCAGCCCACAGAAACCGCCCACGCCTCCACCGCGCCCCGCGATGGAGCTTGCGCCACTTCCCGGCGGATGGAGCCAGAAGGCAAGACCATCGAGCGTGACAGAGAACGCGACGCATGACGAGGTGGAGCAGGGAGGAACGGCATCACCATTGTCACCGCCATCGCCATCATCGTCGTCGACACCGGCGACCGAATCTGCGTCAGTCAAAGAGAGGTCCGCGCTGCCGCCTCCCGCTGAAGTGAAAAACTACGAGCCGGGGTCACCCGCTTTGACTGCGTCGCCCACGTCGCCCATCCAAACGATGGAAAAACAAGTCCTGAAGGACAAAAACTTCTCCATGCCGGCGACAGAGAGAGAGGGAAGCAAGCCGCAGGAACCCTGGGAGATGAATGTCTCCCACGTCTCCCGCACCGCAGGAGCATGCCGTGGTATGCCAGAGACGGTCTATGCCGAGGCCTCCCGGTGTGGGCCCCACGAGAAGGCACTGGCTCAGGGGGCCACCTACTCGCCCGTGTCCCCCGATACGTCGTCCGTCACAGAGCCATCGCGGTCCTCTGGCTCCCCGCTGCACTCGCCGGCGCTCGAGTCATCGCGCGCCGACAAGGAGCCTGGTTCTTCCAGCCGACAGGACGAGTCAGCGAGCACGCTCTCCTCCACCTCCCCCGGCTCGCCCAGCGCCGAGTACAGTGAGGGCCCGCGCTTTGGCGGCTCCTTGAGCGCATTCTCGCTGGAGGCACACCTCCCCCGAGCACCATTCGACAAGGAGGGGCCGAAGATGAACTTCTGCTCGGGTCTGGACACAAAGCCCGAAGGTCAGACCGTGACTACCTTGGATGTGAAGCCCGCGGGAAAGCCGCCGGCGAGGGACGGTGACGATGAACCACAAGGCGACAGGCGCTCTCCGGAAGCGGCAACATCGTCCACGAAGCTATCACCCATCTCGAAGTCACCAGTCTCTCCTGACATGCTGGCTGGCAATAAATCTCCGGCGGGGGAGATTTCTCCAGCCAAAGATCGATCTCCGCAGTTCGGTGGACAGCCTTCGACCCGCGGGGAGCAGACACCGACCAGGCCTCCTGCGACTCCGGTGTGGGCCAGCGACAATCCACCATCTCCTCGCGACAGCCCACCGTCTCCTCATGGCAGCACGACCGTCTTCGCGTCCTCCGTCGTGACGCACAGGTTCCTGAGTGAGGGCACCTCACCTACGGTGGTGGCCTTGACGGAGCAGACATCCGCCACTGCCATTGGCAGCAGCAGCAGCACCGAGAAGCGACATCACCGCGAGTGCAGCCGAGTGCCGCTCACGCTGGAAGGCATCTCGCTCGCGTCGCCATGCAAAGGCGGCGCCCGGGTGCACGTGAGCCCCGCCGAGGAGAGCCCCCCTTCGTCGGTCAGCGACTCGCTGCCCACACCCACCGACTCCGACCTTCCACTGGAGACCGAGGAATTCCACTCGATCGCCGGAGACGCCACGCTCGACGACTCAGAGGACGAGTCCGAGACGATCCAAGCGGACGTTGCCATCGCTCGACCGGTGCGGGCATTGCCCCTCGCCTCTGCCTCCTCCTTGTCGTCATCCTCTGTGCGGGATCGGCCCCTGCAGCCGTTCGCAACCAAGGACTTGCCAGACCCACGGCCTCCGCCGCCCGACCCCGACGTCCACATGATGGACTCGGCGGCCTGGCCGGCCGAGAAGGACAGCGGGAGGCTCGCCACGAAGAAGGAGCTCAAGGAAAAGACGAAGAGCAGAAAGTCGACCAAGTCCCCGGCGAGGAAGAAGGCGGCGGGTGCAGTGAAGACGTCGGTGGCGAAGAGCAAGGAGAAGGAGGCAGAGAAGCTCGCCAGGGCCGAAGGGAAGGACAAGGAGATGAAGAATGCCACCAACTCGGCCAAGCTCGGCGCCAACCGCGCCAAGTCCCGTGAGTCACCAGCTCGCGATGCTCAGTCAGCACTCTGGTCTGGCAGTGCAACTGTGCAGTTGTACTGCGATGGCAGTTGGGCACAAAATCCGGAAGCTCTCGGTTACGAATCAATCCCTGCCACCACCCGGATACCGATTTCCGGATCGCTCCGTTGGCGAGCGGATCGTTCGCTACCAGCTCTCCCACAATCCTGCCGTGCAGCATTAATCTACCCAGCGCCTGCTACCCCCCCCCCCCCCCCCCAGCTAGATTTCCCCGGCACTCGTGTTCAGATAGAGCGATGGTGAAGTGAGCTCGCAGTGTCGGGGAGCAGGCGCTGGATAGAATAATGCCGCATGGTAGGATTGTGGGAGGGCTGGTAGTGAGGGCTTGGGAGAAACCTTTATCCAGCAGTGGATTGCCCACGGCTGATGACGATAATGATATTTAGATCTCGTGAAATCGCGCTGGCAACGGTGAGGGTCAGGGGGCCGTGACCTGCGATCCAATGTCACAATCTATATTTATTACTCGAGGAATCCGATGAGCTATGAAGCTATTTTTCAGAAATGTCCAGTAGGGGCACGGGGTCAGAACGTTACAACAGCAAACAATACAAAACACATGACGGGAGTGCAAAGTATAGGAAAGGTACACAATTCACTTTTAAAAAATACACGGATAAAACAATTTTTTTTATAACCTCAACAACTGTACCCCCCACTTTCTCCCTCCCTCCCACCAGCCACAGCTGCGGTTCCACCAGGCCCGCCCATATACGTGGACCTGGCCTACATCCCCAACCACTGCAGCGCCAAGACCGTACGTGGGACGCACGGGCTGACACGGGGAGACACGCGGGGAGACAGGGGGGACCCACGGCGTGACACGGGGAGACAGGGGGGACACACGGGGAGACACGGGGAGACAGGCGGGAAGACAGGGGGGACACACGGGGTGACACGGGGAGACAGGGGGGACACACGGGGAGACACGGGGAGACAGGCGGGGAGACAGGGGGGACACACGGGGTGACACGGGGAGACAGCGAGCCACACGGGGACACGCGGGGGACACTCAGGGTGACACGGGGAGACAGGCGGGGAGACACGCGGGGACACACAGGGTGACACGGGGAGACACGCGGGGAGACACGGGGTGACACGGGCAGACACGCGGGGAGACAGGGGGGACACACGGAGCCACACGGGGACACGCGGGGGACACACGCCCTTCCTTCTGCCCGCACGGCCTCGGAACGTCGGACAGGCAACTCTCTCGTGCAGACACCGAGCGGCTGCTTCTGGCGACTGCTGCTATCCTACTGCCGTTGCTCTTCCTGCTGCAGTTCGCTACTGCTGCTGCTGTTGCTGTTACTACTGTTGCTGTTACTGCTGTTGCTGTTGCTGCTGTTGCTGTTACTGCTGCTGCTGTTGCTGCTACTGCTGTTGCTGTTACTGCTGTTGCTGTTACTGCTGTTGCTGTTGCTGCTGCTGCTGTTGCTGCTACTGCTGTTGCTGTTACTGCTGTTGCTGTTACTGCTGTTGCTGTTACTGCTGCTGCTGTTGCTGTTGCTGCTGTTACTGCTGCTGCTGTTGCTGTTACTGCTGTTGCTGTTACTGCTGTTGCTGTTACTGCTGCTGCTGTTGCTGTTACTGCTGTTGCTGTTACTGCTGTTGCTGTTACTGCTGTTGCTGTTACTGCTGTTACTGCTGCTGCTGCTACTGCTGTTGCTGTTACTGCTGTTGCTGTTACTGCTGTTGCTGTTACTACTGTTGCTGTTACTGCTGTTGCTCTTACTGCTGTTGCTGTTACTGCTGTTGCTGTTACTGCTGTTGCTGTTACTGCTGTTGCTGTTACTGCTGTTGCTGTTACTGCTGTTGCTGTTACTACTGTTGCTGTTACTGCTGTTGCTGTTACTACTGTTGCTGTTACTGCTGTTGCTGTTACTGCTGTTGCTGTTACTACTGTTGCTGTTACTGCTGTTGCTGTTACTGCTGTTGCTGTTACTACTGTTGCTGTTACTGCTGTTGCTGTTACTGCTGTTGCTGTTACTGCTGTTGCTGTTACTGCTGTTGCTGTTACTGCTGTTGCTGTTACTGCTGTTGCTGTTACTACTGTTGCTGTTACTGCTGTTGCTGTTACTGCTGTTGCTGTTACTGCTGTTGCTGTTACTGCTGTTGCTGTTACTGCTGTTGCTGTTACTGCTGTTGCTGTTACTACTGTTGCTGTTACTGCTGTTGCTGTTACTGCTGTTGCTGTTACTGCTGTTGCTGTACCCGCGAGAAGAAGCCACCAAGGGCCCCTCTGAGCAAAACATCCCACTCCTGCTCCCATGAGCATCCACGGACCAAGTCGTGCATACAGCCCCTGCGCAGCCAGTGATGGGACATTCCACATTCCTCTTGCAGAGGCAACTGAGATGTACGCCTGCCGAGTCTCCAGAGCCGATAAAACGAGTGTCCCATGTGTCTATGTCCGGTGTCTCATTGTCCCCGTGTCTTCTTGCGTCTCTCCGTGTGTCCCCACGTGTCCCTGCGAGTTCCCGCCCCGGGTGTCCCTGAATGTCGCTGCATGTCCCCGTGTCTCTCCGTGAGTCCCCTATCTCCCCGTGTATCCCCGTATCTCCCTGTATCTCCCCATGTCTCCCCGTGTCTCCCCGTATCTCCCCGTGTCTCCCCGTGTCTCCCCGTATCTCCCCGTGTCTCCCCGTGTCTCCCCGTATCTCCCTGTATCTCCCCGTGTCTCCCCGTGTCTCCCCGTGTCTCCCCGTGTCTCCCCGTGTCTCCCCGTGTCTCCCCGTGTCTCCCCGTGAGTCCCCGCGTCCCCCCGTGTCTCCCCGTGTCTCCCCGTATCTCCCCGTGTCTCCCCGTGTCTCCCCGTATCTCCCCGTGTCTCCCCGTGTCTCCCCGTGTCTCCCCGTGTCTCCCCGTGTCCCCCCGTATCTCCCCGTGTCTCCCCGTGTCTCCCCGTGTCTCCCCGTATCTCCCCGTGTCTCCCCGTGTCTCCCCGTGTCTCCCCGTGTCTCCCCGTATCTCCCCGTGTCTCCCCGTGTCTCCCCGTGTCTCCCCGTGTCTCCCTGTATCTCCCCGTGTCTCCTCGTGTCTCCTCGTGTCTCCCCGTATCTCCCCGTGTCTCCCCGTGTCTCCCCGTATCTCCCCGTGTCTCCCCGTGAGTCCCCGCGTCTCCCCGTGTCCGCGTGCTTCCCCGTGTCTCCCCGCATCTCGCCGTCTCTCCCCACGCACCCCAGGTGGACGCAGAGTTCTTCCGCCGCGTGCGCTCCTCGTACTACGTGGTGAGCGGCAACGACGCGGCGAGTGGCGAGCCCAGCCGCGCCGTGCTCGACGCCATGCTCGACGCCAAGGCGCAGTGGGGCGGCAACAACATGCAGGTGAGCTCGCACGCTCACCCTCGCCCGGTGAGCTGGCCAGATGATGCTAACTTGGTGAGCTCACCCGGTCACAACATCACTCCACCGCTGAGAACACCACTCACCATCCACATCGCTCGATAGCGCCATCATCACTCAATCCGTCATAGCGGTCCCCCATCGGTACCCCTCAACCCCCTCACCCCCTCCCCCCCTCCCCCCTGCCCGCCCCCCACGCGCAGGTGACGGTGATCCCGACGCACGACACGGAGGTGGTGCGCGAGTGGTACCACGACTCGCACCAGCGCCAGCAGGAGCTCAACGTGCTCGTGCTGGCGAGCAGCAGCACGGTGGTGATGCAGAACGAGTCGTTCCCCGCGTGCAAGATCGAGTTCTGAGCTCGCGCGGCCTACGCCGCTCCACGCCTCGCGACCACGACCACGACGACGACACCGCAACCGCCACAGTCACATCCACCGCCGTCACCACAACAACCACCAACACTGTAACCACCACTACCACCGCCGCCACCATCGCCACCACCGCGACCGTAGCCAATGGATACCGCCACGGCCATGCGCCATCACCACGACAACCACCAACACTGCAACCACCACCACCATGGCCACCTCCACTTCCGCGACCAATGGATACTGCTACCGCGAACACCACCGCCACCACCGAGCCGTGTACTCCCTGCTTCACCACAGCACCTCGTACCAACACCGGATATCCTTGCTGATGAGAAGCTCCGTCCATCGCACAGGGGATTGACCATTGTTTAACATTTTAAATCGGAATACGACTAGGGCAATGAATCTCGCCGAGTATTTCGTGCAGCAAGTTAGCGACTAGTCAGTTCTGCCGCTGTCCACAGCGAGACCGGGTGCCGGGTGACCCAAAGGTGTCTTCACCAGGCCTACCGGCCCCGGTCAAGCCAAGTCGTTACGAGTTTCACGCGCCTGATGATGAGTAAACAAAGTCAGTGTCACGGCGTAGAGACTGCAGATTCACAACTGAATATCGAAACAGTACATGTGTGTGTGTGTACGTGTGTGGTTCGCGCACTGCACTACGAATCCGGCGACCCGAGTTTGATTCCCTCTCACAGCCGATCCGAGTGACGATTATCTGAACCGGTGCTGGGTCTCACCTAGGTCGACTCAGCCTCAAATGAGTACCTGGTAGATCAATAAACATGGCCACTAGTGAGACGAAAGCTGCCGGGCGTGGCACTGGCCACACACCCCCCCCCCCCTCGAATGGCGTTTCTGGCCCATTAAATAGGTGCTCGCTAACAACACTTGCCCCAACAGTATGCCCAGCATCAGGCGCGTGCGGCGTGAAACGACCTCGCGTGCGTTAGATTGGTGAACGTGAGATTGGTGAACGCGTTAGATTGGTGAACGTGAGATTGGTGAACGCATTAGATTGGTGAACGTGAGGGAGGTGAGAGACGGGAATAGGGCCGCTGAGCATGGACTGGAGTCTGACCCAACCTGGACCCATAGCCGATTTGACCTGTCCTGACCTGACCCCACCCGACCTGACTCCACCCGACCTAACATGACCCCACCCGACCTGACCTGACCCCACCCGACCTAACATGACCCCACCCGACTTGACCCCACCCCACCTGACCCCACCTGACCTAACATGACCCCACCCAACCCAACATGTCCCGATCTGACATAATTCTTACATGACCGACCTGACGTGAACTGATATGACCCCACCTGACCTAACATGACCTGACCCAATCTGACCTGTCCCGACCTAACCCCTGGCGCTATGAATGCCCTGCGTGCGTGCGTTCAACCTACCTCCTCCTCCAGCGAGAGTCGGGCCCATTGTGAGCCCATCGCTGCAGTCCAAATCCGCTTCAGCGGTTTCACTGATTTGTGACGACGACGACGATGATGTCGTCGACGACGATGCCGTCGATTATGACGACGACGATGGTGATGATGGCGACGATGGTTACGGTGATTGCCTTATAGTCTTCGACCGTGTGGAGGCGAGGCGTGAATGTACGATTTGCTGTCCATGCACTTGGTCTTCTGGATGAGCCAATGAAGCTGCTCGGGGGGGGGGGGGGGGCGGGGGGGGGGGTCGCGCGTGGGAGTCCACGGCTCATCTATTCGTGTTTACCTCTCGCTTACGATCCACACGCGAACGCCTGCGCAACGTACACCTTGCCTGCCTGCCTGCTAGAGAGCGCGCGTGTGTGTCAGTGTGTGCACGCAAGTGTACGGGGGGGGGGCGTAGCGGTTAGCGAGTTGAGCTACGAATCCCGGCCACGCGAGTTCTCTTCCCGCTCACGGCCAACGCCCAGTGACGATAATGTGAACTGGTCCTGGGCCTGCCCTAGGTCGACTCAGCCATGATTGAGTACCTGGTGTGGTGTGTCGTCAACATCGCCACTACAGAGACGAAGGTGGCAATCGTGTGCCGTGCCGGCCTTCATAGGTGCTCGCTAACAGCACTTGCCACCAAAGTCTGTTCAGGCTGTACGGGGGATCTTTGTCAGTGTTGCGGGGAGCGGTGACACAGTGGTTAGCGCACTTGCGTCGCGAACCCAGCGCACCCCCCGAGTTGGATTCCCGCTCACGGTCAATAATCACAGCGGTGGCGGATACGTGAACCTGCCCTGCTGGGCCTCCCCTTCTCGGTCGATGCAGCCGTAACACTGAGTGCCCGGTGCTGTTGTGGAGTAAACATCAGCACTGGGGAGACAAAGGCGGCCAGGCAGGCGTGTGGAGCTTATTTGTCCACCAAAAGCCCACCCCTCCCCGCCTGGAGTGGCGTTCCGGGGCAAGTGGGTGAAAAAAAAACCACACTTGTCTCAACAGTTTGTGAAGGCCATCCGGGGGATCTTTGTCTTTGTGTCTCTCTCAGTGTTAGCACGCTGCACAGGCTGGAATGCAAAGCAATGACGACTCGCGTCGATGACTCTGCGATGACTTATTTCACGTACCGACTCAATCGGAGGGTACGGAAAGCGGCAGGCTTCTAGCGATGGGTAGGAAAGGAGATTGCACTTTATGTACGTGGAGCGTGTTGGGCTTCTTTCGCACCGTACGTAGCCAACCCATGGTGAATTGGAGGTGCGGGGGAAGGACCAACACGACGCTAAAACTCGGAGCACCTCGTGCGGAGCGACGCGTGTATGATTTGGCGTCAGGTACAGACCGAGAGAGGTTCGTGTGCGCCTCGGGTTCATTGTTACACGCTTATGGGAACTGCGCATTCGCCCAATCGGTTACGTGTGTTGGAATTCATTGATTTATTGCGATCCTGCTTGCTGATGATGCGCTGGGTGATGATGCCGCTTCTGATAATAATAATAATGATTTGATGATGACGATTTTGGTACAAGCACGGATGATGATGATGATGACGATGGTGATTAAGTAGATGATTGTGAGAATGATACAAATGATGATTGTGGAGACGCTGCAAATGATGGTGACGGTGATGATGTAATTGATAGCTATTATACCGCAGGTGATAACGCAGCAGCAGATGATGATGATGGTGATTTTGATGATGATAATGGTATAGCACAGATGATGGTAATGTTATAGATGAAGGTGAGAATGATGCATACGTTGATGATGCTGACGAGGCTGCTGATTATGCTGATGATAGTGATGCTATGTCCAGGGTGCAGTTAATGACGCAACAGCAGTAGATTAGGATGATGATAAATTAAGCGATGATGATACAGCACAGCCAACCTTGATGTTGCTGCTCCTGTTGCTGATAATCATGACGCCACTGTAGGTGAGTTTGTTCATGCTTCCGTTGCTTTGAGCGCTGTTGGAACGTCATGTCTCGAAGGTTGAGGAGCCTTGCAAAGCTCCACCCCGGGTTTTGCCAGTCTCAGATCACGCATGGCCCGTGCAGGTGGACTCGTGAATGGATCATTTGAACAAACACAAAGACAACGTGCGTTGGACGTGATGGCGATGATGCTGCTGGAGACAGCTCTGATGACAAAGCCACTGGCACAGCAGCCCAGTTAGAAGTTGTTGTCGTATCGCTCCGTGTGCCCCGCGTCCTTACTCAAAGACGTCGGCGGTCGTGGCCTTCCCCTCCATTCAGCCCTGGCCGTGATATCCACTCAATAACTTTGCAATGGAATACGACTCCCAGCTGCACTCCACTCTTCACGCTGCCCGTTGCAATTTAATTCGCTGTCTTCTCGGACTTCCTGTGGCACCTCTAATATCCCCGGTCAAATTTAAATCTTGACTTAAAGCTTTTGTGACTGCAGGAATTCATATTCTTTATTTTCTTTGTTGTTCTACGTGACTTTACCGAAAGACCCAAAGAATATGAATTTAGTCTCATGTTCTCTCGCCGCAAGTCAAAGAAATTCAACTTTTCCTTTCTCTAATTAGACGTGTTAATTGACAATATTTGTATCTGCTATCCGTAACCCATTAATGTTATGGCTCTTTATGTGAGATTTTGGGTCTCTGTGTTAGCCAATTGGTCTCTAGCACTTGCTGATCAGGATGGCGAAGCCGCTTGCCATCACAATGGTTCCATCCACCTGCTCGCGTTGTCACCCGAGACTGGAACAAAAAAACCCCGAGATGGGGATCTAGTTCTCCTCAACGTGGAGCAAATCAGCAGCCGCGACTTAATGGGTCGTGGGGAGACGTCGAGATGAGTGGGCCGACTTTGTCGATGGGCCGAGCACTGGAGTTGTTCTATTGATTCAGTCATTGAGGTTCGTGCGTCGACATGTGTCAGGACTCTTGATGATCATGATGTTCCGTGTCGTCGAGGGTCCAATTGCCTGAGATATTATTAGCACAAACGCGTGTCTCTCTGCGTCTCTCTTGCCTTGTGCTCTGCAAAAATACAGACTGTGAAGTTGTGGCCCCCGCTTAACCAAATGCCGCTGCTCTGTCCCGTTAATTACGCTCCGGGTGGCGGTCAAACGGAAGTGGCCCACCTGGTGGGGTTCAGTTGAACGGGCGAGGGGTGAGTGCAGTGGAGTTGGCGATTGGGACGCGTGCGCTTCTCGCCTTATTTTCAGCTTCGCCGATTCGTCTTGAACTCTCAGGACGAATTCGATGATTAGCCGCGTCGGGTGCGGAAAATCGAGATCGAGTCTCCCCTCCCCCCTCCCGGTTCTCCCGTTTACCCGCCGCTGGATAGAGACCCACACTGTGTCATCCTTTGTGCGGCAAAAGAACCCTCGCCCCCATACCTGCATAGGCTGAGATTTAAACTTCGATTGTCAATGTTATTTCGTTTACGTTCAAGTAACTGCAGTTAATTAAGGGCTTTCAGTGAATTTTGTCTCTTTACTAGGCGAACGCTTAATGACCGAGAGGGGAAGGGGCTTCACCCCCTCAACCCCCCAGGGGGGTGTGGTGGGGGGAGGGGGGGTTACATGGGGGGAACTGGTGTCACGTGACTCACGCGCCGTGCCGTCATTTTGTTGGTCAGTGCTTTACGTGGACGCCCAAGATGGCGGCGCCTCTGCCTTTAATCCGCGTGCTTCGCATGGTCTCGCGAGGTATTGTGAGTGCCCGTGGTCCACGAATGCTGCACGGACATCGATACATCGACCGATCAATGTCAATCCTCGTGATCACGCTACAAGCATCGAGTCGTGTGCGTGAGAATTGAGTACGACCTGCACAAACAAATATGCCATGAACCCAGTAAACATGACAACGTTTGGGGCCAACGTTGTCACGTGTTGGGCCAACGCTGGCACGACGTTGGCCCAACGTTCCGTGTTTACTGGGCTGTTCGAGTTCTGCTATCGGTGCGAACGACAACAGTGGCTCTGGGCATGAAACAGAACAAAACGAGGAATGGAACAATGCGATGAACAGATCAAAACTAAGCAAACACATCGCCTGACCCGATGAGTAACGATTAAAACGAATCGTGGGTGCAGTGGATGGTTACATGTGTGTAAGAATAGAATATACACAATATTAACAGTAACAAGTATGCGGATAATTGAGGCATGACGCGACAGTAGCTGTTACGTGTGCTCACGTGAAACTCCGCCTCGTGCCTCGGTTCTCCGCCAGGAACATTTCGCCTGACCGAACTGCTCGCATGGCCCTTGTTGTCTTCTGTGATGATGATGAAGCGCTTGCCCATGCTGATGCTGCTACTACTGATGATGATGATAAATCTACCAAATGTCTTGATAGGGGCGGGAGTCGGCCGTGGAGGTGTCAGAAAGTCGACCAATGTCACCCGTGAAGGTTTCGTGAAAATCGGGGATTTTGTCCACCGGTTCAAAATGTTTCTGGCCTCGTGCTCAACTCCTCACGTGAGTGTGGGCTGGGCTGCCCGAGTAGCGGGCGGGGATACCTGAGCAGTGTGCGGGCCTATCTCATAAAGAGCGAGGGGTATGCTGCTTCCTGCGTGGGTTGTGATAGTGAGCTCGTAGGCATGGTTATGTAAGAGTGCTTGTGGCTGATGAAGGTAGGGACTGCCAGATGTCCATGTGACCTGATTGAGCCTCCCAAAAATATATATAGTAGCTTTACTGATGATGATGATGATGAAGATGATGCCGATGACTTGCAATGAATTGCACGATGAAATTGGGTGTGTTTAGGATGCAAGGAATCACAGGAAGTATTGGTTGAACCACTGTTCATAAAAAGGCTAAAAGCATGGAACATGGCCACTATGCACCGGCTTCGAGCTGATTATGATTCATCATCAATCCAGTATAGCATTGCTACCTTGTGAAATGACCACGCGTTAAAACGCCGATGTCAAAAACTCGGTTTCGCCTTGAATAGGCATCGTCAGTGGGGTGTAGCACTGCGAGCCTATATACGACAATTGCATCAATACCGGTTTCACCTTATTTGGGAGTGATCGGTCCAGCGTAGCCCTGCTACTCTGTAAACAACTGAGCTACCACCGATTTCGCCTTGACTTGGGGCTCACCAGCGCTCCATAGTTCCGCTACCGATGCACGCGACACGTTCATTAACACAGAATTATTCGCCTTCTCTGGAGATCATCAGCATAAAGATGACGCCGCCGCCACCAGACAATGCTGCCGCGTACCCTTTGCCCCCCCCCCTCCCCGAGTGATGACGTCACCACTCGACTAATTAACCAATCAATTGCCTTGTGAAGTGAATCATTATTAACATGTCCTGTAGCCAGTTGTGGCGGAATGATGGGATATCAGAGAGGAGGTGGGGGTGTTTATTTGTTTTTTTTGGGGGGGGTGCAATAAACTTGCCCGCTTTAAAATCCGACGGGAGTGCCATGTAGCCATGAAGGCTATGAATGTGTGCAACCCCGACCCTCCAATGTAATGACAGGGGGGGGGGGGCCTTACCCCGCCCCCTGTATCCTCGATGACCCCTCACCCCCCGTTGATCTCCTCTCATTCTGCCTCTACATGCCTGCAGCATAATCGTGACTTAAGCGCTCTACTTGCATGCGTTCGCAGGCTGATGCAACTGTTGCTGCTACTGCTGCTACTGCTGCTACTGGTAGCGGCGTCTCTGTCAAGTGCTGTTAGGGGTTGTTAGGGTTCGGGCAGATATCCCCAACTTCCAGTCCACCCACCCCACTTGTTCGAGTTTACAGATTTGTCTCCAGTAAAAACTAAAAAAATTCAATGAAGCCGTTACACACTGCACGAGCCCGATGATTGCTAAACAGGCCACGTGATTTGATGGTGATGCTGCAGCAGCCCGATTGGAAGTAGTGTACAAGCACAATTGACAATAACAACTCAACACATTCGTCAATAACTGAGGCCTTAAAGTAAGATATAGATACGTGAAGTTTCGCGCGGTGGCCCTTCTTCATAGCTCATCAAATTCGCCGATGAGAAGACGATGTCTCCTTCGGGTATCTGTATGGAAGGCGACATGCATGTTGTCTGCTTATCTGCGTTACTTATATCCTCCACTACGACGGTCGATTACGTCAATTCAAATTTAAGATAAACTCCACACATCTTTCAGGAACAACAATCCTGAAGAACAAAACAATATATGATACCTGTCAACCCATACGGTTTACCCGTATTATTGTACAGGGAAATTGAGTAAAAGAAATGGGTCTATTCGTTTGTGTTTCTCCCGTGTGGTGGGACTTTGTAAGATGAACGTTGCTATTTATAAGGGCACGGGATGACCAATAATGTCTGAATTGGTCTGTAATGAGGTAAGTACTGAAAGGAGGGTGGCAGGTATGACATATACATGTATAATATGTGTAATAAACGACGTTTCAAGCAACAACCCTTCACAGCAGAGAGTTAGAACATTCGGCTACGTACGGTGCGAAATAAGGTCAACATACATACGAGCGATAACATCTGCAGACTGCACTATACAGTACACCACAGACACCATGATGGGACCGCTGCATTATATCATTGCATGCGTGGTTCACGTGGGAGGCGTTTCACGAGCATCGGGCTCGTACTGTGCGCGTTGACCTAATTTGCATTTTTCAACGGCCACCAATCGGGGAGTCGTGGTGTAGCGGGACACCAATAGGACTCGAGTTTGGGGAGAAATCCTGGGCTGGGCGGTGGTGGGAGGGTTCGGGTGTGGGAAGAGCTCCCGACTGAGCGGTTGCCGGTCTGGTGGTGGTGGTTGTGGATGACGGATGGCGCACTGCAGCAGCCGCTCTGATTTAACCCCAACTGCGTGTGTGTGTGCCGCATTCTTAACGAAACGCGTGATTTGTGTGGTTCAAAGCGTTAACTCCGTCCGTGTTTCCGCCGCGCTTTACGGGAACTTGTAGGTGCAGTACAATGCCATAACAAGCGAACAAATACGTAGGTAAAGAATAAATGTACATGCATTGAGACGAGAGAGGGAGAGGCTCGTTTTTTGTTGTTGTCGTTGTTGTTCCCGTTATCCTCCCTGTCGTTGTGGAAACACGGAAGGTGAAAGGCAGACAAGAGGAGATGTCGCTGCATTTCGGCCATTTTTGGGGAAGAGCACACGGGTCAACCAGAGCCTAACCTACACACTAGCCACTTTAACTATAACCACACTAAAACAAGAACCTAGCCTCAATTACACACTAAACAAACTAGCTAACAAGACCCTAACCATAACCACACGAGCCAACCAGACCCTTACCACACTAGCCACCCAGGGCCTAACCATAACCACACTATCCAACCAGACCGAAGCCCTATCCACACTAGCCAACCAGACCCTATCGCGAACCACACTAACCTTCCAGACCCTAACCCTAACCACACTAGTCAACCAGACACTAAACATATCCACACTAACCAACCAGACCCTAACCCTAAACACACTAGACCAAGCCGAGCCTAACCCCTACCACACTAGACAAGCAGACCCTACCCTAACCACACTAGCCAATAATACCCGATCCTTAACCACACTAGCCACCCAGAGCCTAACCATAACCACACTATCCAACCAAAACCTATCCCTAACCACACTAGACAATTAGACCCTACCCTAACAACACTAGTCAACCGGACACTAAACATAACCGCACTAGACCAACCCGAGCCTAAACCTGAACACAATAGCCAACCAGACCATAACCCTAACCACACTAACCAACCAGACCATAATCCTAACCACACTAACCAACCAGACCATAACCCCAACCACACAAGATAATCAGACCATAACCCCAACCACACAAAACAATCAGACCCTACGCTAACAACACGAGCCAACCAGACCCTCTCACTATCCACACTAGCTAATCAGACCCTAACCATAACCACACTAGCCACTCATACCATAGCCCTAACCACACAAACCTACCAAACTTAACCCTCACCACAGGAGCCAACCATAACCTAGCACTCACCACACTAGCCAGCCAGACTTTCACCATATGCACACTAGCCAAACACATACGAAACAGAACCACATTAGCCACTTTCATTATGACCACACTAATAATATAACCAGACTCTAGCCTCAATCACACTAGCCAACGAGACGCTAACGACACGATTCAACCAGAGTCGAACCTTAATTACACGAGCCAACCAGACCCTAGCTCGAACCACACTAGACCAACCAGAGCCTCACCCTAAACACAGTAGCTAACCAGAGCCTAACTCTAACCACACTAGACAACCAGACATGAATCATAACCACACCAGCCATCCAGAGCCTAACTCTAAACACAGTAGCTAACCAGAGCCTAACTCTAACCACACTAGACATTCAGACACGAACCATAACCACACTAGACCAACCAGAGCCTCACCCTAAACACAGTAGCTAACCAGGGCCTAACTCTAACCACACTAGACAATCAGACACGAGCCATAACCACACCAGCCATCCAGAGCCTAACCCTAAACACAGTAGCTAACCAGGGCCTAACTCTAACCACCCTAGACACTCAGACACGAACCATAACCACACCAGCCATCCAGAGCCTAACCCTAATCACATTAACCAACCAGAGCCTAATCCCAACCACACAAGACAATCAAACCCTACACTATCCACACTAGCCAGCCAGAGCCTAACCCGAACCACACTAGCCAACCAGACCGTAACAACACTAGCTAACTAGACCCTAACCACACTAGCCAACCAGACCCTCACCATAACCACACTAGCAAACCAGACCCTCACCCTCCCCACACTAGCCATCCAGACCCTCACCCTCCCCACACTAGTCACCCAGACCCTGACCCTCCCCACACTAGCCACCCAGACCCTCACCCTCCCACACTAGCCACCCAGACCCTCACCCTCCCCACACTAGCCACCCAGACCCTCACCCTCCCACACTAGCCACCCAGACCCTCACCCTCCCTACACTAGCCACCCAGACCCTCACCCTCCCACACTAGCCACCCAGACCCTCACCCTCCCACACTAGCCACCCAGACCCTCATCCTCCCCACACTAGCCACCCAGACCCTCACCCTCCCCACACTAGCCACCCAGACCCTCACCCTCCCCACACTAGCCACCCAGACCCTCACCCTCCCCACACTAGCCACCCAGACCCTAACCCTCCCACACTAGCCACCCAGACCCTCACCCTCCCACACTAGCCACCCAGACCCTCACCCTCCCCACACTAGCCACCCAGACCCTCACCCTCCCCACACTAGCCACCCAGACCCTCACCCTCCCCACACTAGCCACCCAGACCCTCACCCTCCCCACACGAGCCACCCAGACCCTCACCCTCCCCACACTAGCCACCCAGACCCTCACCCTCCCACACTAGCCACCCAGACCCTCACCCTCCCCACACTAGCCACCCAGACTTCACCCTCCCCACACTAGCCACCCAGACCCTCACCCTCCCACACTAGCCACCCAGACCCTCACCCTCCCACACTAGCCACCCAGACCCTCACCCTCCCCACACTAGCCACCCAGACCCTCACCCTCCCCACACGAGCCACCCAGACCCTCACCCTCCCCACACTAGCCACCCAGACCCTCACCCTCCCCACACTAGCCACCCAGACCCTCACCCTCCCCACACTAGCCACCCAGACCCTCACCCTCCCACACTAGCCACCCAGACCCTCACCCTCCCCAAACTAGCCACCCAGACCCTCACCCTCCCCACACTAGCCACCCAGACCCTCACCCTCTCACACTAGCCACCCAGACCCTCACCCTCCCCACACTAGCCACCCAGACCCTCACCCTCCCACACTAGCCACCCAGACCCTCACCCTCCCACACTAGCCACCCAGACCCTCACCCTCCCCACACTAGCCACCCAGACCCTCACCCTCCCCCACTAGCCACCCAGACCCTCACCCTCCCCACACTAGCCACCCAGACCCTCACCCTCCCACACTAGCCACCCAGACCCTCACCCTCCCCACACTAGCCACCCAGACCCTCACCCTCCCCACACTAGCCACCCAGACCGTCACCCTCCCCACACTAGCCACCCAGACCCTCACCCTCCCCACACTAGCCACCCAGACCCTCACCCTCCCCACACGAGCCACCCAGACATTCACCCTCCCACACTAGCCACCCAGACCTTCACCCTCACACACTAGCCACCCAAACCCTCACCCTCCCACACTAGCCACCCAGACCCTCACCTTCCCACACTAGCCACCCAGACCCTCACCCTCCCACACTAGCCACCCAGACCCTCACCCTCCCCACACTAGCCACCCAGACCCTCACCCTCCCCACACTAGCCACCCAGACCCTCACCCTCCCCACACGAGCCACCCAGACCTTCACCCTCCCACACTAGCCACCCAGACCTTCACCCTCCCACACTAGCCACCCAAACCCTCACCCTCCCACACTAGCCACCCAAACCCTCACCCTCCCACACTAGCCACCCAGACCCTCACCCTCCCACACTAGCCACCCAGACCCTCACCCCCCCCACACTAGCCACCCAGACCCTCACCCTCCCCACACTAGCCACCCAGACCTTCACCCTCTCCACACTAGCCACCCAGACCCTCACCCTCCCCCACTAGCCACCCAGACCCTCACCCTCCCCACACTAGCCACCCAGACCCTCACCCTCCCACACTAGCCACCCAGACCCTCACCCTCCCCACACTAGCCACCCAGGACCCTCACCCTCCCACACTAGCCACCCAGACCCTCACCCTCCCCACACTAGCCACCCAGACCCTAACCCTCCCACACTAGCCACCCAGACCCTCACCCTCCCCACACTAGCCACCCAGACCCTCACCCTCCCACACTAGCCACCCAGACCCTCACCCTCCCCACACTAGCCACCCAGACCCTCACCCTCCCACACTAGCCAACCAGACCCTCACCCTCCCCACACTAGCCACCCAGACCCTCACCCTCCCCCCACTAGCCACCCAGACCCTCACCCTCCCCACACTAGCCACCCAGACCCTCACCCTCCCCACACTAGCCACCCAGACCCTCACCCTCCCCACACGAGCCACCCAGACCTTCACCCTCCCACACTAGCCACCCAGACCTTCACCCTCCCACACTAGCCACCCAAACCCTCACCCTCCCACACTAGCCACCCAGACCCTCACCCTCCCACACTAGCCACCCAGACCCTCACCCTCCCACACTAGCCACCCAGACCCTCACCCTCCCCACACTAGCCACCCAGACCCCTCACCCTCCCACACTAGCCACCCAGACCCTCACCCTCCCCACACGAGCCACCCAGACCTTCACCCTCCCACACTAGCCACCCAGACCCTCACCCTCCCACACTAGCCACCCAGACCCTCACCCTCCCACACTAGCCACCCAGACCCTCACCCTCCCCACACTAGCCACCCAGACCCTCACCCTCCCCACACTAGCCACCCAGACCCTCACCCTCCCCACACGAGCCACCCAGACCTTCACCCTCCCACACTAGCCACCCAGACCTTCACCCTCCCACACTAGCCACCCAAACCCTCACCCTCCCACACTAGCCACCCAGACCCTCACCCTCCCACACTAGCCACCCAGACCCTCACCCTCCCACACTAGCCACCCAGACCCTCACCCTCCCCACACTAGCCACCCAGACCCTCACCCTCCCCACACTAGCCACCCAGACCCTCACCCTCCCCACACGAGCCACCCAGACCTTCACCCTCCCACACTAGCCACCCAGACCCTCACCCTCCCACACTAGCCACCCAGACCCTCACCCTCCCACACTAGCCACCCAGACCCTCACCCTCCCCACACTAGCCACCCAGACCCTCACCCCCCCCACACGAGCCACCCAGACCCTTCACCCTCCCACACTAGCCACCCAGACCCTCACCCTCCCCACACTAGCCACCCAGACCCTCACCCTCCCCACACTAGCCACCCAGACCCTCACCCTCCCCACACGAGCCACCCAGAC